GTCTTGGGAACAAATGATTATGCAAATGTATGGAATTTCTTATTCCAAGGTTACCTCAACACTTTGATTCAAAAATTATTTTTTTTATTTTTTTTTTTTTAACGTAAAGATTTTCATTTTTAATGAAAGCATAAAGTACTATTGCTACAAAGGGTGCCTTCTATCAGACTTTATGCTTGTATACTATGCTTTCTATCCGGAAAGTACAGTAATGTAGTTATGCTTGAAGACATCTTCTGGCAGATTAAAAGTCTGACATTATGTAAACAATGTGTGATATAAGTCAATGATAAAGATCAAACTAGACTGCATAGTGAACTATAGTTTTGTAAAAAAAAAAAAATTAAGATAATCATATTTACTGCTATTGCTATTGGACTAAATAGAAAACACAGAGACAATAGGAAAAAGAGCTGCATTCTTTCATTTTTTTCCCTCGATTTTCTGTTTCCTCTGTGTCAGCCTAACAGCAGTGTCCACAGCAATCTGAACACTGCATGAAGTTCAACTGTGTTTTTCTTGCTACAAATGTGGTAAAGGAGAGAAAACTGAGAATACACCTGTGTGCACAAAGTCTTGGACTCTGCTTTTGGCCTCTGTCTAGAATAAGAATCACTTTACATTTTAACTCACTTCTGCCCTCCATTATATTGTACCTCTGTTTCATAATATTTTAATGCAGAGATATGCATTCTTAAACAGGTAGGCTACTTTCACACTTAACGGCCGTGAAAACACAGCAAAAATGCATAGGCTGAGTGTTTTTAAAGGACACGTGACTTAAAAACTGCACCAAAAAACACTTCCCAGAGGTGTTTTTGAGGCACTTTTCAGGCATTTTTTAGGTGTTTGTGAGGCGTTTTCCATTGATTTCAATGGGAAGAGACGTTTTTGGGGCATGTTTTTTAACTCCCTAAACATGCCCCAAAGATGCTGCAAGCAGGAGTTTTTACACGCATGTTCTCCCTGTGCCTGTGTCGGTTTCCACTGGGTACTCCAGTTTTCTCCCACACTTCAAAGACATGCTAGTAGGCTAATTGGATCCTGTCTAAATTGTCCCTAGTATGTGTATGTATGAATGTGAGTTAGGGACCTTAGATTGTACACCCCTTGAGTGTTAGGGACTGATGTGAATGTACAATATATATGTAAAGTGCTGTGTAAATTGATGGCGCTATATACAGGTAAGTACCTGTAATAAATAATAATTAACATGAAATGTGTAGACTCACAGCCCTGTGATCCAGTGATGACTGTGTCCTGGCTTTGATAGTAACCAGCATTATGATGCATCAACATACTACTCTGGACTCACAGGAGAATGTTGCAGAGAGTGGAGCCACATCATTACGTGACCCTGCCCACTGCATCATTCAATATCTGACCTCCAGAGGAAGAAGAGGATAAAGAGAATCCATGGTGTCATGCAACCTGACTGGACTGCAGAGAAAAAGGTGTGTATATATGTTGTGTCTCAGCAAGGCACACAGACTGTTAACAGGTCACCATCTTTATAATAACACAAACTTCCTGACCTAACTCCTACTATTTCTTAAAGCTGAAATGACATAACATTTTCAAAAATAGCAATACACAGAACGTAAGGAATACACAGCATTCCCCCTCCCAGTTAAACTTGATAACATTTTAAAGTTAATTTCAGTCAGTCAGTTGCCTCGATAAAGTTCTGGTGCATTCTGAACTAAGCCAAGTCCCAGTTCATGAGAATAGGATTTGTTGTCCGGGCTTCCAGATGTTTGTGATTGTCTGGTAGGGCTGGATGCACCATTCCAAGCAAGACAATTAGGAGTAGTGTATTTCCTGGTAAAAGAATCATGATCAGGTACTAACCTGCTCACATGCCAGGCTATCCATCTTTCAACCTATAGGGTACTGGTCCCAACTGGCTGTGGATTCTCACAGGTTTAGATTGGATTCGACTGGGGTTAAACTTTGACATAGTTGGTGGCTTCCTTATCTTCACTCACTGGCCAGGAATCAGAGCACTTGTCTTAGTGATTCTTTTTGCATCACTAACAGTTGAGTACTGTTATACTTTTTTATTTGTACTAACAAGGTCCAAGCAGTACTTTGCATCACTGTTAGTTTTTGCTTGACCTGGTGCCTACCCACTCTAGCATGCAGGTTTAGAGGTTCTGTTACTTTATTTGTTGGCTTCAAACTTGTGAGTGGAGTTCATAGATCATGATCTATCAAACAATTCCCCCAAGGCACTATGAGAAGCTGACCTACAGTGTTGTAGAACATTAGTTGCTCATGTTTCTTTGTTTTTAAATGTCTGGTTAAAACGTTCCACACCTCCATTGGCCTGTGGATGGTATTGTGGTGTTAAAATTTGCTTTATTCCATTTTATTTAAGGAAGGTCTCAACCTGTTTTGAAATAAATTTTGGACCATTTTCGGTAATGAATTACAGAGGCAATCAACCCCTTGAGATCAATCCCTCCAAAGCAGTGATGACAACTTTAGTGGTCACAACTTCTGCTGTAAACACCTCTGGCCATTTCGAGTAAAAATCATAAGCTAACAAACAGTATCTTCGATGTTTTGATGCTACTGTAATTTCTCCACCAGGGGCGGACTGACCATTTGGAAACTTGGGCACTGCCCGAGGACCCAGGGTCAGTAGGGGGCCCCATAAGATGCCCCTGGTACCTTTTTCATAGTCTTTTTTGTTTGGTCAAGGACACAGGGGCCCCATGATCCCCTATTGCCCGGGGGCCCCATGAGTTGTCAGTCCGCCCCTGTTCTCCACATATATCCAACTGAATTGTTTTCCATGGACCTTTTGGGAAATAGCTGTAATGGAGCAGCTGTTTTCCCTCTGAATTTTGCAACTGAGAAAGCACAGTTTTCAAAACTGAGGACTCAAGTTTCTATCTAAATGCCTATATTAGTCCACCACACTGCTTCTCTGCAAAGTTCTTATGTCTGTATAACGCCTAGATGACCTAGATGAGCTGTTTTTTTTTTAACTGATTGTCTCAGTACAGCTGGAAATATTTCTACATGTCCTCTTGAAACGCAAGGTGACAACTCGGTTTTTACTATGTAGTATAGCTAATTATGTCCTGGTAAGGCAGATGGTCACTCACCATGGAAGTAGGTCAGTATTTCCTGAATCACTGGATCATTCTGGGGTGTGGTCACCAGGTCCTGTTGTGTAACTGGTGAATTGAATATTTCAAGTGGCTGCTTTTCTTCTATGTCTTTCTGTCCCTCTTCTGGACTGAGAACAACATAGGACAAATAATCTACTACTAGATTTAACTTTCCTGGCCTATAACAAATGTCAAGGTGTACTGCAACAGTTTGTATGACCATCTATATATACAAAGAGGCAGATGGTCATACCCCTAAGCTGGCAGCAAGAAAGTTAGGGCTTGGTGATCAGTTCTCAGAGTAAACTTTCTTGTCATCGTTCACAAGCCCGTATTTAGACCAGTGCCTCACATTCTCCTGCAAAATATTTTTGAAAAAAGCTTGAAAAGCAAAGTGCTTTCATATTTTTTCTATAGGACTTCAGCCAATTTTCACTTGATTTTAAAAAATGGAAACATTTTTGGTAAAATTTAAAATTTTTAATATTTATCATAATAAATAAAGAAATTGTATGTACAAACCTAATGTATCAATTAAGATATAAATCAAAACAAAGTTTTGTAACAATTTCTCCTCTTCCCTTCATCTAGAATCTGATTAACTGCAATGTGATTTCTGCTGTTAAGGTATGAATAATGGTAGCAGCTGAGTTAATATAAAATAAACTAATCACATGACTTCTACTTAATAGACCAAAATCAACTGATTTGTGAATAAATAATTTGTGATTTGCCACTAGAATGTAGGAGGGCTACAGGAGAAGTTATTCTTGTCATTTTGGTCAAAATCAGCATGGAAACTTCAAAATGATCTTGAGGACTTGTTATTTGGATGTTTGCTGTGGTGTGTTTCAATCATTATTAACTTCATGACAGCTGTTATAACCAGTCAAGACATTTTAAGTATTTTCTGGTAAGATTTGTGACTGCCTTCCTTTGAAACTGCAGTGGTGAGATCTTTGTTGAGAGTTTCCTGCCCACCTTTGTGTGATACCACTCCTCCTATGCCAATCTTTAACATTTCAAATGTAAAAAATGCTACCTTGAGAGATATAAGAAACCAGTATATGGTATTTCTCTGTGAACAAAGTAAAATATCAAATTTGGATACACTCAGACTTAAGCAAAGACTGATCTATAGCCCGTTAATCAGCCTAAATGCCTCTAAAACAGAAATTCATAGGTACACTATTAAACGGGTCCACCACCCACAAATCAGTAAAAAGGTCACCATGAGGTGATCATGCAACATCAATGCTGTTTAAAAGATCCCCCTCAGTGATGTCCCATATTCTCCAGCTGAATCATCTTGGTTGTATAAACCAACATGGATTGAAACAGATTGTTTGCAGATGTTTCTTAGGAAATCGGGTGTACTTTATTCTAATTTTAAAATGTTTTCTAGTATGGAATTAGGTATCAATGAAATCAGAAGATCCTGCTGACATGATACCAGATTTTAAGCCAGCTTTTACAGAGAATTTCTTTTTACTCATAAGTGTTTTATTTAATCCATGTCTAGTGAACTGGAAGTATGCTGCTAACTTTCAGCCAAGTATTCAAAGAATTGCTGTGGTGCTGTGTATTGCATGTAAAAGGAAATAACTGTTTTAAAGAGCAGATTACTCCTTGTAAGGGTTCTTGTGACAACATAGATGAATTTGAAGCAGCTATGCAGTTAAAAGCCTTAATAGTCATATATGAAGCGGCCAGCAATTAAATTACCTGTGTCTTGTTAGCAAAGTTTATAAAATAGACATATCTATTTGATTATATACACTATATTGCTAAAAGTATTGGGACCCCCCTCCAAATCATTGTATTCAGGTGTTTCAATCACCTCCATAGCCACAGGTGTATAACACCAAGCACATAGGCATGGAGACTGCTTCTACAGTACAAACAATTGTGAAAGAATGGGTCGCTGTCAGGAGCTCAGTGAATTCAAGCGCGGTACCATGATAGGTTGCCACCTGAGCCACCAAGTCCATCCATGAAATTCCCTTACTACTAAATATTCCATGGTCAACTGTTAGTGGTATTATAACAAAGTGGAAGCAAGTAGGAACAACAGCAACTCAGCCACAAAGTGGTAGGCCACGTAAAATGACAGAGCGGGGTCAGCGCATGCTGAAGCGCACAGTGCAAGAAGTCACCAACTGTCTGTAGAGTCAATAGCTAAAGACCTCCAAACTTTGCATGACCTTCAGATCAGCACAACAACAGTGTGTAGAGATATTCATGGAATAGGTTTCCATGGCCGAGCAGCTGCATCCCAGCCTTACATCACCAAGTGCAATGCAAAGCTTCGGTTTCAGTGGCATAAAGCACGCCACCACTGGACTCTAGAGCAGTGGAGACGTGTTCTCTGGAGTGACAAATCATGCTTCTCTGTCTGGACGTGTCTGGTTTGGCGGTTGCAAGGAGAATGGTGGGAACAGTTTGGGGATGGCCCCTTCCTGTTCCAACATGACTGTGTACTAGTGCACAAAGCAAGGTCCATAAAGACATGGATGAGCAAGTTTGGGATGGGGGAACTGGACTGGCCTGCACAGAGTTCTGACCTCAACCCGACAGATCAAATTGGGATGAATTAGAGCAGAGACTGCGAGCCAGGCCTTCTCGTCCGACATTAGTGCCTGACCTCACAAATGCGCTTCTAGAAGAATGGTCAAAGATTCCCATAGACACAATCCTAAACCTTGTGGACAGCCTTCCCAGAAGAGTTGCAAAGGATGGGCCAACTCAATATTGAACCCTACGAATTAAGACTGGGATGCCATTAAAGTGCGTGTAAAGACAGGCGTCCAAATACTTTTGGCAATATAGTGTATGTGTATGGTATTATTATTATTATTATTAGATTACATCTGAAAAATGAAATAACCATTGATTTCTCTGGACATTACTAGAAGACAGATGTTCCATTGTGTTCATGGTCACCTCAATCCCAATTTTCTGTGAAAAGATGGAAAAAATATCTATCACAGCTTTTGCCCACAGCGCCTAACCAATGGTGACATTCCTTTCTTTCCAAGCAAGACCCCAGACATTGCTGATTCCCCAGCGTGCTGTGAGAAGATGCTCCAGCACTGAACAGCAGCTTAATCTTATGAGATTTCACATACTCAGCAATCTCTAAAAAAATCTTGCTGGAAAGGGTGGTGCTATCTTCTTCCAACAGAAGCCGCAAATGGAAGTCAGGGTAAGGTAAGTATGTTAATTGTTTCACTGTTTTTTTTTTTTTCATTTTCCAGTAGGTGAAAGCCATTAAAAAAACAGCAGAGGTCTACTTTAAGTGTTTTTATTCCAAGTCTTCCCCATACATCAGATCACTTACAGTATATTAGTCAGAGATATTGGGATTGTTTATTCGTTTACCATGATTTGTAGTAACACTAGAAAACAGCATGTAGCAGGATAGAAAGACCAATCTAATCTGTTCAGCTCTTGGGCAGATCACTGGACCCAGGTTGTCACTGACAACAGATGCTTCAGCCCAACTGGATCTGATGCAGTCACTAAAAACCAAACATTGATTAAGGCAGAACTCCAGCACACATGGCACCCGAGTCTCAAGTGGTCAAATGCTTCTAATTACTCAATATATACAGACATGGCAAGCCACTCTTTGGATTCAATTCTGCTTCCAACATACAGCAATCCAAGGCAAGATTCTCAACTGCCAGTAAGGGCTCCCAGGTTGATTTAATGAATGGCAAAGCAGGGCACTAGTCTACAATGTTCTAAATCTTATTACCTTTAAAAATAGCCTGTGCCTAAGATCAAGGGTCCCTCTAGACATTATAAGGCCTACATAAATTTCTTGCACATATGAAACGTGCCCACATTGGTCGTTTTGATATGTCAATTTTACATTTTGTATGCTCTTAGTCTTTTACAAAGAAGGACTTTTGTTCTAAGCAGAGATATGACTGAATCGTGAAAAAAGTGCACCAAAAAGTGTAGTTGTACACTTGAAATGTTTCCACATTACAACTAGTCATTTGATGTACATGTTCATAAAATGCAATGTTTTACAAAGTATTGTGGTTAGTAAATATTAATTCACTAAATCAAAGGGGTAAAAAAAAAAGTATGATATGATATGAACTATGACTCAAGTTGTTAGCCTTTCTGTTCACCTGTTCATTGACAAATCTGTTTCAGTTCAGCTGCATTATAGTTGAACAATTCCTCAAGCTATCAATTCCAGATCACTACAATTTTCAAAAAACCAGAACAAAATACAATTGACTTATTTAGGCAAGGGCCATTTTATACAATATATTTTTTTACCAAAAGTGAAACAAAGACCATAGCAGCCCATGTAGCTGCTATGAGGTCCAAGGACAAGGGCCCTGCTAGGGCCAGTTAGGCATTTAATAGTCACTTTTCAGTTATTAATATTATAACAGCATATACTTTTTTTTTTTTAGATGACAAGAATAATATTGAAACAAATGGAAGAGAGGTGAGACCTATTTTGTGTACCAGCTATTAAAATATATTTTGGTAAATTATTTATATTAAACATAGACAATAATGAACATTTCTCTTTTGAAAAATGTTTGCTGTTCTGTTGCAATTAAACATTCCACTATTTCAATTTATGATTTACTAAGAAATTTCACGTTATTGATATATTTTCTCCCTTAGCACATTTTAATTTTTCCTCTTCCGTGCAATCTTATCTTTAATATTGGGCTATTTAACTAATATTAAAAGACACTTCAATTTCCCCATCCGCAGAAATGAATGATCCTTTCTCATATTCTAATCTACATACGCTGCTCTCCTCCTATGTTTTCCAATCTCCCTTTCTCCATTCTCCTCCTGGTAAATGGTCTTCCTGTGTGGCCCCTTCTTTTCCCTTCTACTGTCATCCTCAATTGTACTCCCCTTCACTGTGGTCCTTACCTTCAACTCTCTTCTTTTACCTGTGTGTCTGTTCCTGCTCTCCTGCACTGTGGGTGATCTTTCTCTGGTGACTGTTTTCCACAAATATGTTTTTTTAAGAAGCTTTGCACTAATGAGCAGACTGGAATGATCAGAATACTAATTAGAATGCAAAAAGACCAGTCAAAAATAAATATAGAGTGGATAAAGTAGGGGAAGGATGGAAGGGGGTACAGGAAAGGAAAACTTATAGGGCACATAAAAGTAAACAAGCAATGCCAACTTAGGACAAGTATGAACATGATGGCTAGACCCCGACGGTAGGGCCCCCATCATGCCAGATCCCACTGTGATGCCTCCCATACTCCCTAGGTTAATTCAGGGTTGGAGCTAAATCTGAGTAGACATATGGGGGTTTATTTACTAAAGCTGGAGAGTCCAAAATCAGACTCCCTTCTGCATAGAAACCAATCAGCTTCTAACCTCAGCTTGTTCAATGAAGCTTTGGCAATGAAACCTGGAAGCTGATTGGTTTCTATGCAGAAGGGAGTCTGATTTTGGACTCTCTAGCTTTAGTAAATAAACCCCATGTTGTCTTGAAGTGCAACCAGCAGGCCCACTTGGATGAGTACTTAGAAAGCCTGTCTTGGGCTTTCTTGGGTAAAGCATTCTGCAATCATTGGGACCTGAATGGACTTCCAGTGTACCAGGACACATAATTTGACCATGTGAATTGCTGAATATTTATGGTAGTGATTATGAGATAGAGAGGTATGGTGGAGTACAAATTGTGCTACGGTAGAATCTAGGAAAAAGGTGGTCACTTGAGCTATAATGCTATGCACCTCCTTCCAGAAATCTAGCAGTGCTGAACAGTGCCACCATATATACAACAAGGAGCCTTCAGTTAGCTTACATCACCAGCATATATTAGGCTTCAATGGGAAAATTCTATGTAGGACAGTAGTTCTATACCATTGGATCTGAATTTATACCTACTGCCCTGTACGTTACTAGACAGGGAATTCTTATAGCAACCCCACAGGTTAGGAGTTCAGTTCACAACCCAAGTCTGCCTCCCAAGCCGCACACATCGACATTAGCTTTATAATTTGAAAACAGACTTGAATAAAAGGGTAGATATTGCATGTCTCTGTGATACACAGAGTGACTCCAGTGAGGTGAGGTCTCTAGAGTAAAGATGTCTGTCTGGTGCATTGCACAAAAAGTGTTGGATTTGTAAAATGGGACCCAAGGAGAGCCAGTAATTGAAGTTAAATGATCTCTGTTCTTAAACATGCCTTGACTAAAAAGGTTCTTAGCCAAAGCCTTGGGATTATGTCAGTGAGCAGATGAGAGGGGCACTGTTCATGCCTGAAGGGAAGACAGATCTGTGACAGATTGCTGTCAAAGGACCCAGGACAGAGGAGAGAGCAAGTCTACTACATGCCAACCCAAACCATCAGAGAGTCACTACAAAAAGGGGATGTGTCTTCATTTCTGATGTAGCATGATAGGCCTGAATCAAAAGCAGAGATCTAATGTGCCCCACCACAAATTTTTGTTCCAAGGAGATCCAACCTTTGGACCTTCTCTGCAGGCTGCAATCCACTATCCTGGTGAGATTACAGGCCCAATAGTATTTATGGATATGTGGGGTATCCTATACCCCTTTTGTGTTTGGATAATGATAGGGAATGGTATCCAATTCTTTGTGTTTGGTAATGCCACAGAAAGGTGCTGCACATTTTTTTCACAGCATGTAAGAATGCTTACAGGTAGCCATATAGGCACTGTTTGAAAGGTGATAAACAATCTGGCAAAGATGTTCATTTTAATGATAACAAAGCGACTGAACTCCGAGAAGTGGGGTTGGCCGCACCTTTTAATATCTGATTATAGATCTGGCAATCATGAGTGAATAAGTTTGCAAAGTTGGAGGTCCAATGTACTTAATCACATCTTTGGCCCAGTGGAAGGGAAAACTAGTCCTGCAATGTGCAACTACTTCATCTGAGAGCAAAATGTTAAGGGCAAATGGAGTAATTGATTTTCAGGTTTGAGATGTCCAGGAAGTTTTTAAAGTCCTGAAGAATTTTGGGGTCCCTGATGATTTTTTACTATTCTCAGTGTGTTCACTCTTATGCTCTGTTCTTGTTCTCCAATCTGCCCCTTAGCAACTTTTCTCTTACAACCTCCCTGTCACTGTTGTCCACTTCTGTCTTGGTGCTTCTTCATTGGTTTTCAAGTGTCCCTATTCTGCACAAAGTATAATTTTGCAAACGGTTCTTAGTATCTCTAGTCTGTCTTTAGTGACCTTGTTTTCTGTCTCTAATGTCAATACTCTCCTCCTTCCATATATATATAAAGAGAGAGAGGT